GTTGGGGAAATGAGAGATTAAGATAGGATTTAAAGCTTAGCAACTAAATATTGGATCTTGGTATGTCTCTAAATAGTTAATCTAAAAGATAGGTTAAATGTAGATTTTTTTAAAAAAATAAAGTTACAATCTCTACAAGATTATAAAGTGACCTTCAGTACAGCAAACACTGTGACAGTATAAAGTCTGGAAGTGATAGGAAGATCATCTAGTCCAGCTGTGTGCCCAGGACAAAAATCCATACAGATAATCCTCGATTTATGAGTATACAATTGACCCCATTTGTGTTGTTAAGCAAGACACTTATTAACTGATTTGCCCCATTTTACAATTTTTCCTGCCATAGTTGTTAAGCTCATCTCCGTTTCAAAGTCGAAGAGCCAGCTGTCAACTCATAAAAAATATTTCTATGGTCTTTTTAGAGTTGCCAACAGAAAGGGAGGGAGAGCAATGCGGCTGCTTGGAAACCAAAAGTGCATGCCAAAAATAGTTTTCAAAGATAGTAACTAGATGACTGAAGTTTCTGTCGCACAAAATTCTAATTGGAGAACATGATTGATGATACTTGGCTATGGATGTGTCCCATTGGAGAATATTGAATTATAATACATCCAGTGGGTGGGGGAAACCCAGGTCAAGGATGACAGTGAATTATGTGTCTCAGAGTCAGCTATACCCATACAGTGCTGGACATTTTAACTTCCAATAAATTCTTTTGAAGTTTTGGAAGTATGGCTCAAGACTCATGATTTAATTGGAGTAACTGCTGGAATCCTGACAGCAAGCGGTGTGGTGGCCTAGCAATGAAGCTAATCGCCTTGCGTGCAGAAGGTTGAGAGCTCAATTCTAGGTAGCGATAGATGTTGCTCTCTCCCTTGGGCGCAAATAAAAAATGCTGCTAACGCCATGTGGTATCAGGAAGGGCATCTAGCCAATAAATGCTCAGCTTCATCAGCCCCGACTTGGGAAGAGAGTCATGAAAAGGGGAGGTTTTTTTCTACCAGTACTCATCTGTTTTTCTTTCCTTCACAGAATCAGGTTTCTTCGCTTCGGCTGTAATTATATTGTCAGCTTCTATTTGTATTTGGGTAGTTTGGAGCAAGTTCTCCTCAGACAATCCCTCTTCTGCCATGTCCACCTGATTTTCTCTCCATGCATTCCAGATGTCGGGAAGCGATGGAAGAGGTCGGGCGTCAGGTATCCCAGTAATGATGATGAATAATGAAAATTGGCTATCTGTCAGGATTCTGGCAATTACCCCAGTTAAATGAGTCTTGAGCCAAACTTCCAAAACTTCAAAAGGATTTATTGGGAATTAAAATGTCCGGCACTACCTGGGTGTAGCTGACTCTGAGACACATAATTCATTGTCACCCTTGACCCTGGTTTTCCCCCACCCCCTCGGTGTATCATAATTCATATTCTCCAATTGGACACATCCATAGCCAAGTATCATCAATCATGTTCCCCAATTAGAATTTTGCGCAGCAGAAACTTCAGTCACCTAATTACTATTTTTGAAAACTATTTCTGGAATGCACTTTCTGTTTCAAAGCTGCCACACTGCTCCCCCCTCCCTTTTTGTTGGCAACTCTAAAAAGAAATATTTTAAAATATTTTATGAGTTGACACTAGCGCTGTCCGAAGATGTCTCCGTGGTCATGTGGCCGGCATGACTAAAAGCTGAAGGTGCACGGAACGGTGTTGCCTTCCCACAAAGGTGGTCCCTATTTTTCTACTTGCATTTTTAACGTGCTTTCGAACTGCTAGGTTGGCAGTTCCCCTAGAGTCGGGAATGACTGGCACATATGTGCGAGGGGAACCTTTGCCTTTTAACAAGAACTCAGTTAGGATCTGTGTAGGAAAATGAAATGTACTGATGCATATTCACAGTGTGGTTAGGCCATATCCCTTCCTCTCCTGCTGTTGTAAACTTCTGTTATCTGTGTTGGGCAAATAATTGTCTGACTGGAAATGCATTGCTGACAAATGATTTATTGCTGGAGTGATTGAAATTACTATTTTACAGATGCCTCCTTTGAAGTTTGGTGCATTGTACAGGGTATAACTATCTTGATGAAATACATATGTAAGAACCATTACCTAAACAAAAGGTAAAAAAAAATATTTATTTTTTATTTTTACACATCTCTTCAAGTGAGCAATGTGATTCCAGGTTACAACATTTATACATAGTCATAATTACATTTCCAACTTTCTTATCTAATTTCATATCAAATCATCTATTCCACTGATCTTTAAATAAGTTCTCACTTCATATTTCAATTCATTAATTCAATATCAAAAACATTTCATCCTCACATATATTTTTCACTCTTTATCCCCTATTATTTCCATTTTCAGCTTACCACCTATTTTATTTTACATTATTCATTATTATCTTAACTTTCTCAAAGCCGATATATAATAAAGAAACAAAAAAGAGTAAAAATAAAATAAAGCTAATATATTTGGGATCCACATGGTATCTCCCAGTCTACAATAAATCTTATATTTATTCCAGAGATATTCATATAACCATTTCATATTTTTCTTTGTTTCCACTTAGCCAAAGTTTGCCTATGAAATTTTATTAAATTTTCATTCCCCTCCTTTTTAATCATAATATAATACTCTCATTACAAATTCTTTACTTTCCAATATAATCCTTTCTGGTTTACCATATTCTCTATTTTCTCATATCCTTTATATAATCAATTACAGTTTCTATTTCATGTCTAATATAATATATATACAATAAAGAAAAAGAAAAAATTAAGTTTCCTTTTTGTTTCCATTTAATCAAGTTTAACCTATAAAATTTTATTTAATTTTCATTCCACACTTTTTGGTGATAGTAGCATAATTTTTTCTAGTTTACCATATTCTCTGTTTTTCTAATATAATTTGAATAATCAATTATATACATACATACATACATACATACATACATACATACATACATGATTTGATAACAATAAAGCCATCTTAATTTCTCTTACTCTATCATTATTTTTCTAATATATAATTATATAAAAATCTTAAGGTAATTCCCAATAGGTTTTAAACTTCAAATCTCCCCAATCTATATTTCTAAAAAAAAATACCAAAATACATTTCCATGTGGTATCTCCCCTTTATATTATCTTTAACCCTTATCTCTAAATCTCTTGGCCTTATAGTTTCTTATAATTTTGACCAGCTTTCCCTTTTCTAAGTTTTTCTGGTCTTTCCTCTTAACTCCTCTTTTTTCCTCTAGTATTGTTTTTATTTTTATCTGCCAATCACTTATTTCCCCTCCCACCCTTTCCTGTTCTCTCCTTTTGTAATTTCTTCTTGTACAGCTTCTTTTTCTTTTGTTTAATATTGGAAGTATTTTCCCTTTTATTTATTACATCTATTATCAATGACTTAATTTTGTTTTCTTTCATGTCTTTTTGCAATGTCCCTTGTTTGTGCTCTTCTAAGCTGCTTTCCTCTTCTTTTAACTGCTCCTCCTTCAATTTTCTTTGTTCTGTGAACTGCATTGCCATTAATTTTTCTGCCAGTATGTCCAATGAAATTCCATTCTTTCTTTTGACATTCCTCTCAGAGTTTGCAGTTCAAACTTGAATTCTTTGCCTATTTCTTCCATTTTTTAATCAGTTGAGTTATTCTTTATTTTATTAAAAATCAGTGTCTTTTATTTTAGTCCTTGCCAAAAATATCTGTTTATCTCAATTCCTCTTGTTAATCCTTCTGTCTCCTTGTCACAATCAACACCAAAAGGTCCAAAGATATTATCTTCACTTGTCCCTTTGCTGTAATCCCTCCTTTTTTGGTGCTTCCGGGGTTATTATTATAATATAGTCTTTCATTTCATTTCATTTCTCATTCACACATTTGTAAGACCAGTAATTTTCCATGAAATCATAAGAGAAAAAGTGCCTTTCATCATTAGATGGCGCTCTACATCGCTTTCCACTTTTCAAAGTTCTTTTTTCTCTTTTCAGTTGTATTAATTCCGCTAATTCTCAACCATTAGCTCTTTTAAATATAGTCAATTCCAGGCAAATCCAGCATTCTATCCAATGCCTAATTAATGCTAATTTCTGTATCTTATTCCAAATTTGGACTCTAATTCCGTTATAGTCCTTTTATAATCTGGTTTTTTATTTACCTTATAATTTCCTCTTTTTTTCCATTTGCCGCTGCCACATTCAGACATGATATTCTTCCAATTAAAATCGGAATTCCGATTTTTTTGGGAATCGCCCCCCCTTTCCCCCTTCTTCTCCTCCTTCCCCTCCCCTCAGAGGCCCCAAGTCAGGAGTTGCTACCGCTGGCGCGGCTCTGCGTGGCTCCAGTTCCGCGCTGCCTCAGGAAGGGAAAGGCAAAAAGGAAGAGCTGCGGCGGCGCTTTGCAATGGCAGCAGCGGCTCCTGGTTTTGCCTTTCCCTTCCCGAGGCAACGCGGGACTGGAGACGCGCGGAGCCGCGCCGGCGGTAGCAACTCCTGACAGCCCCAGCCGGATACCTGAGCGGAGCCCGGGCGGGCGGGCGGTGCGAGCGGAGCCCAGGCGGGCGGGCGGTGCGAGCAGAGCCCGGGCGGGCAGTGCGAGCGGAGGCCGCTGAGCGGCAGGAAAAGGGAGCTGGGCAGCGATTTCTTGGCGCGCGGTGGGGGGGTCTCTTTTGGCCGGCCCTGATTTTTTTTTCAGAGGGGAATACCATGCCTGCACATTCTTAAATGAGGACTCTTTTCTTTTGTTTCTCGGGTTGTCAAAAAAAATCCAAAATCCTTTGCCTGGTTACATGCTGCTCACCGCTTCACCACTCCAGCACACATTTAAGTCCCGGAAGCTTTCAGTCTTCAGGGCAGCCATTAAAACTGCCGCTACCTCCTGTCTTCAAGGGGAGTATACCTAGCCAGGGAGGGGAGATGCAGCTCCCTCGACCTAGCTGGCGGTCTCCCCCTCTTCCCCCACCCCTCCGACGTGTGTCCAAGATAGAACTGGTCCCATTGGGACGTTTCAACAGGATAAACACAGATTGAAGCCGTGCACGATTGCAGTCTTCAGTCCGTCTTTGATGGAAGTGCCACCGGCGAGTCCAGGGGGCTTAATTTTTTGAGACCTGAGAAATAAAACAATGTTTCAAAGTAGCTCTGGCAAAGAGACCTCTTTGTTTCACTGGAGGGTAAAAAGGAGATGAAATAATGTACAACCCAATCAAACTTGCAAGATTCTATTACTAAGGCTAATTTCAATTAAAAAAATAGTTTTAGCCTTCCTGTGGAAGTGATTTCCTGGTCTAGTCTATATAATGGGATCAACATAGATCAGTGGTGGCTAACCTTTTGGGGCTCCTGTGCCGATAAATGCGCGCGTGTTTGTGCATTTGCGCTCATGTGCCATCACCCAGAAGGCAATGCACGTGGGGGGGCCCATACCCTTGTGTGCTGCATAGTTCTGCACATGCATGCATGAGCCTCCCACACGCTGTGCATTTTTTTTTTTAAACAAGTTTTATTAATTTTTAAAACACACAAATTATCATTATTCATTACATGTTTAAACCTTTTTTCATTGTAACTTTAACAAGTCAGATAAATTATGATTCTGTTTTAAACCATTTCCATATAACATACCAAAACCTCTTATTCAATTTCTCTTTACTTCTCTTTACTCTTATTCAATATCATTATTATTATTTCATCTGTTTCTTTCTGACTTAGTTACCATTATTCTCATTCTATATTTCTACAAGTTTTTACTAATTCTCCCCCCCAAAAAGACATATACACACAACACACAAAACATAAAAAAAATCTTTTTGGAAAGTAACTTGGATCCAGGTGTCTCTCTCTTCATGGACTTCAATTATATTCATGCTCATCTTACATATCATTACTTATTTTATTTACCATTCTAAGCCTTCTATATTAACTTCTCCACATATTTCACACTTCTTAATTCTATCTTAATTAATCATCTTAGTTTGAATCATTATATTTATATCTTTTGTCCATTTTTTATCATCCCTTTGTCTCATTCCTTATAAAAAAAAAGAAAATAAGTTTCTCCTGAAATCATTAATCAGAGTATGATGCCTTTCTATCTCCCCCCTAAGTTAATCAAATTAATCTTTAAAATAATATCTAATACCCAATCCGATTTTGCTTGGTACATTCTATCTAACTAATACATCCAACATAATTAAGTACATAATTAGACAATAAATCCAAATATTAAAAAAAGATACTATAATAAAAATTTTATAATAACATCAATACCATAATCTTATTAAACTCTTTAATTAAAACAGTATTCTAAACCTCCCCTATTATTAAATTTTAAAGCCAATCATTTTTAAACATTTTAACATTTTAATCTCTTATCAACTCTTAAACCATTACAATACTACCATCTCATCTTATGTACCTTGCAAAATCTTTTTTTTTTTAAAAAAATTATACTTTATCCATTATCCATAAAAAATTCCTTTTTTTCATTTAATTTCAAAACATTGTAGCTTTTCTCCACCTTTTCCCTTTCTTTCTTCTCCCAACAAACCTTTCTACCCCCCCTTCTTCTAGCCTCTGCCTTACCGGCTTCCCTTCTCTGTCGTATTCCTTTTCCCTTTTGTTTACTATCATCATATTGGTTTTGCACCTTATTTTTCCCTTTCTTAAATGTGTTTTTAGATCTTAAGTCCTTAAGTCCTTTAGTTTTCTTCTTTTCTCTTCTTTTCTTTTCTTTCTCTCTTCCTTCTTTCTGGATCAAATTCTGAGATTCATTAAAAATGGCTCCTTCCTTTCTTTCTTGTTCCTCTGCTGTCTTCATCTGTTGTAATGTTTGTTGATAATTAGTAAGCGCCATTTCTAAAAAAAGGAAAGCTTCTTCCACACCATCTTTACCATTTTTTTTTGCTTGTTCATATTCTTTTCTTAGTTCCTCAACAGAAAGAGCCATTATAAATCTTTTCTTTTCTTTTCCCCTTCTTTCTTCTTACAACAACCAGAATATTCAAAAGAAAATAAAAAAAAAATAAAACAGTCCCAAAGTTATCAGTCAGTCCAAACCAAGGCAGAGTTCTCACTTTCTCCTTCTGGGGTAATATCAATCAAAGAGAAAGAAAGTCCAAATCTGTTTAAAATCTTATTACAATATATTCTAGTCTTCAAATCCTTAAGGCATCTGCTCCAACAAAGTCTTAGCATACAAATATTTTCTTTTTAATCCTCTCTCTTCCCACTCATCGCTTAAAACCAATTTTCACCTAAAAAAAATAGGTTTCTTAATATCCAGTTATTTATTCCGTAGGAAGAGAGGGAAAGCTATCCTTTCAGCACCTTCAAACAGCCGCTTTTTTCCTCTTCTGGCAGGTATTATTCAGAAAGTCATACTTTTCAGGAATTTTATTAAATATGTCTTAGAGTCCTAGGAGCCAAGAAAAACTTTCTCCTCTCAAGCACTTTCTCCACTTCCTCCTGCGCATTCTTACCCGGCTGCCAGCTTCTTTGTGGCGGCCATTACAGACCGCCGCTGCACCGTCCTGGGAAAAGGGGGTTCTGCCGGCCGGGGAGGGGGTCTGCAACACCCCCAATCCCCTCTCCGGATCCCCCCTACCTTCAGCTGCCCCTGCAGGGCAGCCTAGCTCCGTACCCGTCTGGGTCGGAGCCCCAGAAGCGGCTAGCGCGGCAGGGATCGCGCAGCTTCGCAAATCCCTGCCGCTCGCGAAGCCGACAAACCGGAAGTCCACACGCTGTGCATTTTTGTGTATGTGTGCCCCCACGAATGGGCGCCAGATACCCAACAGTCAGCTGTTGGGTAGGCTGCGCTTGCACAGTAGACCTTCTCTGGGCGAGGGCTCATGTGCCAGCAGTAATGGTTCTGCGTGCCACTTCCGGCATACGTGCCATAGGTTCACGGACATAGATGATTAGGACTCAGACAAAAATGATGGGGTATCCTGTTGTTTCAATACATGGTAGGTGAAAAGAGCTAAGTGGTAAGTTTTAACTTTCATTTACTCAGGACACCCACTTTTATTTCTTTGCTGTCTTGATTACCAGAGAAAGTTTTTGAAAGCAGATTTAATATGTTCTCTATCTGCTTTGCTACCATTATTCTATGATAATATTTATAGCAATTTCATTGTCATTTTCTCCTTTAATAACTACAAATATAAATTTGAATATCTTTCCCATATAATGACATGCAATTGTTATTTTATCATGGCTTCTATTTCTCATTCCATTTCAGCTTTTACAGAAATGTTTCAATTATCCTTTCATGTTCAGTAATAAAATGTGACACATGTTCTTTGTCAATATTTAAATCAGTCTTTTTTCAACAAAGGGAAAAGCAAGAAAACTTAGCAACATGGTCAAAGTTTTGAAGTTCTGCTTATAAGCTAATTTTCAGATCATTTTTCTTTTCCCTTTCCCCATTTTTTTGCTATGTTTATCAAAACTATAAAATTATGTTGAAAATTTGTAAAACTGTAGTATTTTGTTCATTAGTTTCACATTAACAGATGAGAAAAATTTGACGGTACACAATCAAAATACAAATTTAAAAGTAGTAAAATCTCTGTATATCGGTAATGTATTTTATAACAGAAAATACTTCTAAGGAATTGCTACTTAGAAATTTGGGTGATATATTGGGTTAATTTTCTACTTTTTTCCTGATGTTTATTGCTAGATGTTAATAATTTGATCATATAACAGAATATGAAGATGAAGATGAAGATTAAAAGATGCAGTATGCATGTGTGTGGATATATTTCTCCTCAGTCTTTTTTTCTTTATTTTGCATACATGTCATTCTATAAATATGGCTATGAAGAGTGCCAGCTCTTCAAAACTAAAACTGCAAGCATGATTGGTTGAATGTTCATGCTTCATTTTAAACCTTACAATAAAAGCCATGATTACTATGACAGAGCATGCCTTTTATTTTATTTCATTTCCCCCTGTTCTTAGGAAAAGATTATACGGATGTATTTCATGTATGTAGGAAAAAAGATGTAAATATAGAAAACAAGTGCTGAAAGATGTTTAGCCAAACCTCCAATGTACTGAATAAGAACAACCATTGTTAGTTTTCTCATTTTTATTTGTGAATGTATGGTGTTCAGACATGTTTTATATGCTGGCCACATCTAGAATTAGTTCTACAAAGTCTGTTAATTTTTAAAGTGGCCATTGGCAAACTATTGTTTTCTTTGCATTGTTTAAGTGATTATTGTAAAACTAATCAAAACAGCAGATTTTCATTTCTTTACTATATTTTATGTTCACATTGGAAAATATGGATCTTAAAAGCAAATAATCTAGAACAGCCTACTCAGATCTGAAATATAACAACCTAGAAAATTAGAGTAGGAAAGAAGATTTTTTTGATATTTATGTTCTCTAAGTTAGAAGAAAAATAAAATGATCTCTTGCTGTTTGGTCTTCTGTCTCTTTCTTCCCACCTTCTCCATTCATGAGTTCTCTGTGAGCTCATGAAACATGAAACCTAGGAAAAAGTTGAAGTGTGGCTGTAATTGGGATTATTCTATTTTTAGTTAATCAGCAAGCATGTGCTGTCCTATCCATGCCCCAGTAAAGAAATTACATAACTCTTAACTCTATCTGTTGCAGCACCAACTTCCTGTTTCTTTTGAACTTTTTTTCTCTCCCTTTTCAAAAACTTTCATGTCACTTTTAAATAACAGAATATTAAGGAATCTCACCCTATATTTGTATTGGAAAGTTTGAGTTCAGTATAACAAACTCTGATACATTCTTATTTCCCTAATATCTTGGCTGTGATCTGTTAATATTGATGTTTTTATCCGTATAGAGCAAAAAAAAAATCTCAATGTTCCAATTAGGTAGCTAAGAACTGTTTATATTCTTGCCTATTTGCAGAAGACAATTGACCCATGGTTTTTCATCTAAGTAGTGGAAAGAAGGAGAAAGAAGAATGAACAGTCATGATATCTATTTCCATTAAGGAATAATATTGAGTTTTATGAGTGCATGGCTCCTTTAAAAACATAAGTAACATTTTGTTTTTTACATTGCAAGAACCAGTATTGTTAAGTAAGCCTCGTTTGCTCGATGCTTCTCAAAAAGGATTCTTTAAACTGGAAAGTTGAGGAGTCTTGACATTTGCAGTTTTATTACAATAGATTTTGAAGCTGCTGGCAAAGTTATCAGAACTCACAGTTTATTATCAAATCTGTTCTGTGCTGTTCCATCTTTGGATTCAAATAGTATTAATATGATTATTTTGTGATAGTGTATTCTAAATATCTTTGCCTTTATGATAGTTCAACATTTTAATCCAGGGATGTGCAAATTTTACTAGGCTAATGATTATGCTCAGATTTTGAATGACATTATTTTCTATCATTTTACTTGATTTTTTAAAAGACTAATTTATGTCAATTGCCCAGTGTATTTACTTGCTGTATTCACTATTTAAAATGTGTATACGTGAGAATATTTGTTTACTTGAAGTGAATAATCGATGATAGATTAACTTCTCTTATATTTCTGTTAGAAAATGGATTTCAAAACAGAGTTCCTTCTGTGTGTTGTAGAGATAGTTAGATGTTCATATGACAGATATGAGAAATTATCAATTCCTCCCACAGTGACAAGTTAAAAAAGGGATATAGAAGCCCACTATTTTTTTTCCTGAATTCTTGTTTCTTACAATTGTCTTTCTGTGCTAGGGAAAAAACTGACCATGTTTAGTGGGGAATAAGCCTAAGATGCCACATTCAAATTGGAATCTGAATAAATGCGTACTTGTGTTTGTACTACACCTAACCCAACTGGAAACAGTATAAGAATAAATCTTCAGATTGTTAATAGCAACACAATCACCTTGCATTTCTTTACATTCCTAGCATACAATATACGCTTGCCTCTAAAGCTTTTTTCCTCATGCGTTTCTTCCATGACTCATGAAGCACAGGATGCCAAACAGAGAATGGCTATTTCTGTGCCACCAGTGCAAACCCCACTACCTCCACTTATGTTGTCAAGTGAACTTCCATTGTAGGAGGCACCCTGTGTTCTTTGTTCTTAGCAAATCTTTATGGAAATATCTTAAGCAATACTGGTTTCTCCTGTTCAGAAGCTTGTCTTTTTTTCCTACTTACAGCTTCTTGACATTTCACTCACCTGTAGAGTGGATACAGATATTCAATATTAAATCCCTGCTCTGTACAGTTTCCTAAAATAGTTCCATTACTGATGCTGTCATAGCTATAACACAAGATATTTATCAATTGAATATATTTTACATTTAAAATTAAATTAAGGACAGCAGCATCCCTTGGTGCCAAAGGACAATTCGGAAACCCACAATTAATTTCTTGAATGTGATTGCATAATAATTTCTTATAAGGTTTACGATCCTGCATTGTCTCAGCATTACTAGGACTTTGTGTTCTGTATTTTAAGCTTGCTGTTAAGTTCCACTCTTGAATTTTATTGCTGTTTGTTGCTGGATGTGCAATTTCTTGTACTTCCTAAAATTAGTTTGCAAGCATTTTTGCAGCTATGCAGCATAACACTTGTTGTCTATTTACTGAAAAATTAGCTTTATATTCCTTGATAACTTTAACATATAATTTTTAAGTAATAGATAGCAAGCTTTAAAAATGCTTCAAATTTACAGTTAAAAATAAATTCAAATTTTTTGAAACCTTACTCTTATTAAGGCAACATTCTACTCTCTATTGTCAAAGCACTGCACTTTATAACTTTTTATAGTTATTATTACATAGATCATTCAACGGGACTGTTTTCCTTCTTTATTATAACCATTATTTTATGAGATTTTGTCTTCTATAATTCAATATGGACTTTAAATCTGAGTCTCTGGTTTTAGATCAGAATCCTATCTATCACAGCAGCTCACACGCTTATTGAGGGGAAAATAATCTTGCTTTATTCTAAACCAAATCTAGTTTACAGATCAACATTTTCAAATTTAATTGAACCCCTGAATGAACTGAAGAATTAACGTTACACATTCTTTGCAAGTACAATAGAACATTTTTAATATTGAAACTTTACCAATTGAATATAGAATCGCTTTCTGGGTTTGCATACTTATATATGTACTATATTTAGAAATGACTAAGCTTCCTTGCTAAGAGGTTGAGTTAAAGGGTTCTTTTGCATACATCAATAACTGCACCTTAGTTATTCCAAGGAAGGAACTTGTTTGGTGTTGCATATAGTTTGGTGTTGTTTGATCTTCAGCTATAGAGTAAATAAGGGCCTTGAAATGATTTGTCATTGTCATGCTATGAACCTGCAAGGAATTTTCAGAGTTTATCCATAGACTGCCTTTTGTTGGAATTACAACAACTGCTGGTGCTACTGGTGGAAGAATTGTTATGCACAAATATGACCTTTAGATCATTATCTCATGTTTCGTTGAGAGAGCCAGATGCCGTGAAGCAATTATGTTGTGCATAGATTGAAGAACAGGAGTTTCCTATACCAAGTTTCAAAGATGTGTGGCAGAAAGCTCTGTAGCAGTGTGCAGTTCTTTCTATTGTGATTTGATAATTATGTTGATCCTCTGGTAATTCTAGTTTTGTTCTTTGCATAGAGTCAAGTTTCAGTGACATGTATTTTTGATCTACTCATATTTAATAGGTAAGATATGCCCTCCGTCCTTCTTAAGCTTCTGATTTCCATGATTGAATGAGTTGCACTATAATAACTTCAATGCTTGTCAAGTAGTGGCGAAGATGATAGATTTTCCATTTCTAAGGGTGCATTTTTCCCACTTTCAGTACATACTTGCTGACTTTTTTTAAAGCAGCAGTAATTTAGTTCCCATTTTAAGTTCAATCATGGCGTCCTTCTCTAATGTTGACACTTTGGATATTAGACTACTGCTGTTCTTTTATGCTTTTGCTTCCATTCTGGAGAGAAAAATAAAGATTCTGATCCACTAAAAAGGGGGGTATGAAAGATACTGCCTTTTAAAGATGTACCAAACTGTTTCTGTTGTGGGGGGGGGGGACAAAACAGAACGGTTAAGTTGTAACTGTCTGCATTGCCATTTCTCAGCCTTTCTGAGGCACATAGTAATAAACTGTATGGCTCACTCAGTACCAATTTAATATTAACAAGTCAATGGAAATGATATAGTGATAGAAACATATGTGGTTCTAGGTTTACCAACAAACCTATCACATTTCTGGTGCAAATATACCTCTCATGGCTGCCTGTAATCATTATGGTATAGCTTGCTTTTTGGAAACATTATTCACCAACCAATATTGTCATCAGCAAATTGTCTTGTTTTAGCTCAAGGGGACACCATTGTGCTTTTTACTCTATAGTTTGTCCATTACAGGTTGCTTTCCAATTATAAATTAAGAAACATAAGGGCATGTTTCACTTTTAGGAACAGTTTGTACTCATCAGACATGTGAAGGAATGGCAGGCTTTTTAATTTTTATTTTATTCTTGTTTTGTTGAAACGTCTTCTCTCATGTGTACTAGTCATCAGAGGGCAATTCCAGGAAGTTCTGATTCTTTGGAAAAGCTACTTTTTCTGAGATTATCCTCTTAAAGTTCTATTCATTAAGCAAATTGGGATCCAATCTAGCTTTTTCCATTGAATTAAAATATTTGGCTTCCTGCTGTTTTGCTGAGTCACTGATAATTTACAGTTTCATTCCTTTGTAAAATAAGTTTTGGGCAGCAACTCAAATGGGAGTCCCATTCTCATTTGGATCCATTTGGGCATCAGGGCAGGGATAAACACTGTTTCATTTGAATTTCAGTTAAGGATGATTGACTGAAACTCTGGAGCATGAATAAAGGAAATGACAGAAGAAAACTGGCTGCTACAAAGAAGTTCTGTGAGAGTTCTTGGGAGGTTCAGTTGTGCCTTGGCCTGTTTCTTCGTTCAGTGCCTACCCTTTGCTTTTCCTCCCTATGCATTCTAAGCTCAGTATCTTGGTGCATTGCTTAGTACTGTATGTGAAAGCTTGCAGTTGTTTTTGTATGCATCTGTGCATAACCGATGTCACTATCAGGCTTGAAGGACTTTAAAATAGCTCAGTAAAGGAGGAGATGAGGAATTGCCTTCCAGTGCAAGAATTAAGGCTGGCATATTTCTGTGTAGGGTGATCACTCCAGATTTTTCTTTCATCTGTGGTCTTGCTTTAAGGGAAGCTGCCTTTCATTTTTGAATTATGTTCTTTTGTCATACTGATCATTTTCTTCCTTTCCTTAATGTTTCCAATTATTTTCTCTCACTGTTGGAACAAGCCTTTAACCTCCCAGCATACTTACCAGTGGTAAAGAAGGGATTAAATTGTTGTCTGAGATTCAGGGAACGTTGCCCACCCCCTTAGGAACATTTTGGAGGCAACTCATTTGCTGCTGCCTAGTCCCGCAGAGCTCAGAGGATTAGCTGGCAAAGAAGAAACAAACATTTGAGCATACCACTGTTGGTGACTTGGATCTTCAGATTTTATGCATCCGAATCTGATCTGATCTGAGGTATTTTATCCTGTTCCTTCATTGCCACTTCTTTCAATTGAAACGGTAGGCTTGATATTCATAACTACAGGTAGTCCTTGGCTTACAACCACTCATTACTGACCATTCAAAGTTGCAACGGCACTGAAAAAAGTACTTATGACCATTTTTCACACTTAGAACCTTTGCACCATCCCCATGGTCACATGATCAAAATTCTGACACTTGGCAACTGGCTTATATTTACAATGGTTGCAGTGTCCCAGGGTCACTTGAACACCTTTTGCGACCTTCTGACAAGCAAAATCAATGAAAAAGCCACCTTCACTTAACAACCATAGTATTAACAACTACAGCGATTCACTTTGCAACTGTGGCAAGAAAGGTTGTAAAATGGAGCAAAACTCATTTAACAACTGTCTCATATAGCAACACAAAATTTTGGGATTCAGTTGTGGCTGTATGTTGAGGACTACATGTACTCATTCGTACAACAAAAAAGTGAATCACTTATTGGACAGTGTGCCCAGTCCTGGAGGAAAGCAGCTGTTTTCTTGGTATTCTCTGTCCTTTAAAGGGGTTAATTCATTTACTGTATGGCTGCTTGGAAATTGCCATCTGTTTTGAGGCTGTTGTATTTCTTTCGGTCAGATCTCCTGCACACAATTGAAAACAAACAACTGTGTTTCCAGTTCTGCTGCCCCAGAGTGGAACCTGTAACTGCCACTCCTAAAAGAGTTAACTGAGCAAGTGTAGCAGTGGTGGAGCCACGAGAAGCTGATGATGCAAACGTGAGGGAAGAGTGGAAAAGAAGCAGAGAAGCCAAAGTAAGGAGAGAACAGGGAGATATAAATAACTTGGGTGCTTAGCTGGGGAGCGACTTTCTGTCTTGGTTTCTCTGGCCCTGATACTGCTGGCATCGGCTCTCTAGGGAAAAGCTGCAATTCTGCTGTTAAAACACAAGGAGCAGCCTGGAGAATTTTGAGCTGCGTCACACAGCTTAGAGGGAGAGAGTGAGAGCCAGCTCTGTCGATAGGTCTACTAGCAACAGCCTACTGCAGCAAGAGACAGAGAGAGAGAGAGAGAGAGATCATGCAAGAGAAGTAATAACAACATTGGGAAGCATGGTTCCTTTTCAATCTAGCATGTTTTTTTTTCTTTAAAGAAACATTATTTGGGAACTTGTTGAAGAAAAGTGGATTTTGTCCACTGATGGTACCGGAAAGATGTGACGCAATTAATCCCGCAAAGGTGGGGGGGTAGATATAGGAAGGGTTAATGGGAGGAAAATTCTGGAATGTTCTGTGCTGCGGCAGAGCGAACAGAGGGTTGAGGACTGCACAGGTGTAGATGAGCAGAGCTCATGGTTCCTCTGTTAAATACGTACGTATTTTTTTTTATCGGAGTTGGGGAGGGGAGTTGAACTGAGTGTCTCACTTTGTATGTATGTGGCTAGAGATATCTTTCTGCCCTCCCATCCCTCAAACTTTTCATCCAGTAGTATTTTCCTGTGGCTAAATGTTGTTTCTATGTCCTGCATCAGACTAATGGAATGAAGGCACAAGTTGTAAAATGTCAGTGTGTAGCTAGCTATAATGCATAGTCAAAAAACAAGGAAGGGAAATAGAACAGTAGCTTTGCACAGGATGCCATCTAATACCCCCTTCCCCAATTTCCTTATTAAATCAAAAAGTTGGCAGAGAGATTTATCAAAACACTCTGGATCTTTAAAGCTGAGAATCTGTATCTGCAGAGTTAAGAAAGTGGCAAATAGACAAATGATGACGCAGGGATCTTTGCTTGGCATGTTATTAGGTTTAGAAAGCATTGGTTGGAGGGGGGGTGGAGAGGGGACAGGTACATTGTGAAGCTCCAGACCAACTGACAGAGGGTGAGTTAAGAAGGGAAGATTCCATTTAAGAATTAAATGTCATCATTTTGGCGTCGGAAAGTTGTTTACCTTTCTCTCTGCGTGTCTCCATGTTGGCAGCCTTCCAGCTCACATGTGATAGTCTTCCCTGTACTGCTGCATCATTAACTGAGTGCCTGAGCTTGCACATGATTGGCTGGGGAGGGCTTTCATTCTAAACACTGATTTCCATTGGAGGGAGAAGCAATGGCAGGTGAAATGCTATCTGAGATTGGTTAGAGTCAGAATATCAAATCTAAATATTCCATTCCAAATGCTTTAAAAGAGGTTCTGAACAGTTTGTGACTTAAAATGTTGGCTATTTGCTTTTATTCCCCACCCACTCCTCTCCTTTGCAGCAAGCACTTTAGAATGTGTCTATATTTTCAGAGCTAGTGTTTTAAAGAGAAAAAGCAGGAGCTTGTCTATTGTAGATTACTTTAGTTTATTACTGGTGCAAGTGACGCAGAAGGAAAAACAAATATTCTGTGACTCGAGTTGCATCAGTGACAGGCATATTTCCGGCTGCTGTGAGACAAGCCACGATGACGTGACATTTATTATAGCCTTCAGAGGAGATAACAAAAAGAGACTTCAGTGGGTGTCTATCTTTGCCTTTGTGTGAAAAAACTCTTAACTAGACCAAGCAGTTTTCTTCTGTTATAAACTCTCTTGAGGATAGAGAGATTGCTTGTTAGAGAAGAATCTGTAAAAGGCTGGACAGAACTTAGAACAAAAACTGTGTCTTAGATGACAACACTGTGAATCGAAAGTGAGTGCTGGATGAATATAGTGGTAAGAAATACAAAGTTTACTTTCTGGTTGTTTTATTTTGCTTTTAAATGAGATAGTTTCTAAGATAGTTGGACAGTTGTGAACTATAACCAGTTCTGATAGGGGGTGCTGGAAATCTTTCATTTATGGTACATATCGTATCTAAGTAGACGTGATTCTTTACCATTTCAGATCAACTATGTTTTCCCTTCTGACCTATCCCAAAGCCAATTCCAGATATAAAATTATTATGGAGGATGAAGTCTATGTTTTTTCCTTCTTTTTCTTTTGGAATTTCAATGAAATTCTAAGCAATAAGCATTATCACAGAGCATGGGGGACAATTTCCTGTGGCACGTTCTCATGAAGTGTTTCAGTAAACTGAAGGATTTAACAATAATATAAGAATCTGTGTGGGTGACTCACTGGCATTGAGAGAGTCAAATATAGCCGGTTGTTCAGCAGTAGTTTTCTGGCTTTGGAACCAGATCAGATAACATTTTGATTTGCCATCTTGATTATTTTAAACTACTCCTGTCTTCTCAAGTATTGTTTCAAGATTTTATTGCTTGCAGGCTTTAATAGTCCCAGGAAGAATGAACAAGCATAGTCTTCTATTCAGAAGGAAGGAGAAATAACCAGGAAGCCATATCTGGAAATGGACATGATACGTGAAAGGAGAAGACGGATAGGTGTGACAGATACCTACCTCCTCTGCTACTCTCTCAAACATAACTTCGTTTTTTACTCTTCTTCTCCGTTGTCAAGTGTTATGCCTAATTTGAAATTATTCCATTGGAAATGTACCACCTTCATTTATCCTTCTCCCCATTGAGAGTCCTTGCTTTGCAAAGCTGTCTCCTCCAGAGGCAGTCTTGCATCCTGCGGTGCTAATTCTGCAGAGGAGGTCCATCAGAGGTCCATCTGTGATGGGATACTCTCAGGCTGAGATTTTGCTGCTGCTGTCACGAACAAAAAAAGTGAGTAGGTTTGAAAAAAGTTGGGTTACTTTCATTTTGATGGACGCCATTTAAACAAACATAGCTTGCATTTTTTAGATACAGCCACTAGGGATTGTATATTGGTTTTTGCTTTTTCTTGTCACATGATGCTCTGTAATGGCATACCTTAAATATTTTTAGAGTGAGTTGGATTTGTACAAGAGGAAGATTAATAGTACATACTTTTTCTTGATTCCCCCAAATAAGTGCATTTTCTCACCCAAGCGCTAAAGGTTGAGATTGCTTATGTGTATGTCAATTTATTTTTATAAATCTGAATACAGTTCTTAATCATTGCTGCTTTAATAAGTAATTGCTCACATAAAGATACTTTAACATGAAAAGTGAAGCTATAGTGAGTGAAAAGGCATCATTTTTGTTCTACTGTTGTGGAAAGATTTGACAGTTCATCTCTTGTCTCAAGTTAACAATATAAGTGAACCACAGGCTTGTATAGAACTTGTCTGCAGGTGGTTTTGAGTCTTCTGATGCTATCCTGAAGCCAGAGGGTTTGACATTAGTACCTTGCTCAGCTTTGTGACCTTGGACTAATTTGCCAGTTACTGCTTTTCTTTGTCGTCCACAAAGGGGCATAATAAGATGTGCGTCACAGGAATGTTGAGACTTCTGCTTGTTTTTTTTTTAATAAGAACCATGAAGTTTTTCCTGAAATGAAAGGGCTTCCTTACAAAATGGGATTGTTCTTTTATATTAAGATTATATAGTGTGGATGAAATTTACCAAGGCCATGCAATAAACATAATGTGTGTCCCTAGCTACTACTATTTTTATTTTTTTATTGGCACCATTTTGGCAAACAGATGGACCCAATTCTTAACTGTACATTTTTTCTAGTGATTGATTGTGACGCATCTAAGTTTGAATATACTATTTCTTTAACAAGTTAAATAATATTAACAAAAAATAGTTGTGTGGAGGGAGGGAACCTATCTTTAAAATCATATCAAAACTTGTGTTCTTAATCAGAAATGTTTTGGTATCATGACATATTACTTTCACTCATTCTAACAGCAGGAGAATATTTAGTTTAACGATGACTCCTGTCCATTTTGTTGCTGGTGAAATATATTCAAAGCCGGTGGTACTATTGCTATTAATTTCTGTCTTGCACAAAAATAGTCTTCAATTTGTATCTGGAAGATACTTGCTGTTGCTGGGAGCAGAATCATTTTCTTGAGGAATTTTTCTCTCCTGGATTTTCTATATATATATATTTTATTTTTAAATAGTTCATGAAGTACTATTTGATTATAAACTTAATAGCTCCATTTAATTTCCCTCACCCTGTTCTGACCAGAATACGGACTTAAAATACAGTCACATTTTGCATTTTTTTCATCTTATACTAGATAGTCATTTGTATTGATTTGGGCGTGGTAACTCTGTCTATCATTTTCTTCCACAATTTAAAAAAATAAGAATTTGAGGGAAATACTATTCCTTCAATATTTGCATTTATAATTGGGAGGAACTATTTCCTACAGTAGCAAGCTTAAGTTTCTGCAAGAAAGACAGAATTATGGCTTCCTCTATACTATTCCCCACAACTAGTTTTTTTAATATTTATTTTTAAATTAAACATTTTACTGCGCCTTTACAAAAACACATTTTTAGAAGATTTTTATATTTCAGAATTGTGTGAAGAAGATAAATGATGCAATGTAACTTTCTCGGTAGCCATTTTGCTGCATCACCATTACCACATTGCAAAATCCTAAATTATATTTACTTGTAGTTCCGGGGCATAATGCCCAAAACCAAATTGTGGACTCGGTTATTCGTCTTTTGTCTGTAATAGACTGAACATAAATGCCAATTCAATAGTCCATGCATAAATATAAATTAAGTAATCTATGAAGCTCTAAGTTATAGCCAGAATTACAATTATGGAGTATTTTTGTTAGCAAATTCTGCTTTCTCGTAATGTAAGATTTTCGTTCATCTTTTAACTATCTGTATTTATAATCTTAATTTTTTCTTCAACACTCTGTGTTCATTTGCTGGAGAGATTAGTAAATTATTCTCTATATGTAAATATTTTCATTGAAATTATGTATTTGAATCACATTAGAACAGTTAGCTTAATATTGATTAGTTTACAGTCATGAAGCCATGGTGGGTAGCTCTGGGGTTGTTAGCACTCTGAATGAGCAATAATCTAGCAAGAAGGCAAGACTTTATAGAATATGTTCCTTAATTTAAAATACACATAGGAAAAACTACTGTTTTTTTAAAAAAGGAAAACATTAGTATAAAATAGAATGTTGTTACTGTTGACCCAAACATGCAGATTGGGTCAATTTATATATCTGTCACTGTTTAATGTTATGTATCTCTTACCTTAGTCTGTGACTACTTTTGTCATAGATGGAGGTGTGTATTAACTTGTATTTTGGGTTGAATTCCCATATTCTACAAGAAAGTAGGCAGGTTCCTTACTTTGGGAGACTTTAGTTCCCATTCTATTAGCTGCTATAAACTATTCTTCATGGCCTTTACAAATCAAAGAGCCTGGATTTCTTCCTTCTGTTGTTTGTTTATGATTATTGATTGCAAACTTTTCTTGATACTCCTCATGTATATGTTAAAAATTGATCTTTCAGTGCATTTATAGATGGACATCTCTAATCTGAATACACTTGACTACATCATCTTTCCTGAGTATTTTTTTTTTTTTTTTAGAAAAGTCTTCGGTGACATTGGCCTTTTACATTTGAATTAAGAAACAAGCATATAAATTACAATAGTTCTTTGCTTCTGCTTCAGCTAGGCATTAAATTAATATAATATTAAATTGAAATATTGCTTAAATTATTTGGGCTTTTTTATTTAGTGATGATATTGGATTACTGCTAGTTTTAATTAAAAAATGAATTAAACTTCACTTTGGTTATAAGAAGAGATAAAAATAATGTATATACTTTACAGATGCTCAAATAATGTCCATTCATGTGTTCTCAAAGGATTTATCCATTATATATATTAGGGGTGTCAAACTCATGGTATCACGTGATATATCGTGACTTCCCCCACCTTTCATTAAACTGGGGTGGGCATGGCCAGCACATGACACATCTGGCCCATGGACCGCAAGTTTGACGTCCCTGCTACATATGATTCTGACTCCAGGCCAGATGTCCATAAATTCTGTTTTCAACTACATGACATGAACTTTCATCCATAAGTTACCCTTTTCTGTCTTGAAGTAAAATTTGTGTTCTAAAACAGAAATCTCAGACTTCCGGTTTGAAGGGCTTCGGCGACAGACAGAAATCTGTGATCGTGCACAGTTTCTGTCTGGGCTCGCCGCTGGAGTGCCCCGAGCC